AGAGGCCTCCATATTTCATCAGCCTGGAGACTGACAGACACACTTACTTATTTACAGCTTTTTCTGTCTCCAGCCTTAACATCAAGTTGTGAAACGGGTCTTCGGAGGTTGTTGTGTCTTTATTTTTATGTGAGATGGGGGGAAAGAGGTAGAAGGAGCAAATATTATAAATGAGTATCAAGGCTAATGTTTTTTGTGCATATACCACTGTTTTTCTAATATTTGAAAGCATAAACAATCGTGTTTGACTCTCTGTTTGCTTGCCAAGGTTTCAGCACAAGGAACCGGTTGTGAAAGAAAAATATGCCGCGCATTTATGCATTATACCACTAGTCACAGTTGCATGTCTCAAACTGCCACTGGCCATGTGTCAAACATTTGCATATATACATAATCCAGTTAATGCTGCTGTGCTTGGTCGGTGCATGGCCGTCCATGCTAATTACATGGACCCTGGTTCACCGTGGTGGCATATCAGTGCAGCTCACTGGGAATTAAGTGGTGATTCCTGTGGGCATGTTGATGCCCTTTAAGCCACCAAATATCTCCTACAAACAGCTCTACTGCTGCAAAGTCGGGTCACAGGTTAGCTGGGTCTTATTAAAGCACCGCCAGAGGCAATAACAGGAGTCATATTGCCTGATAGTACTCTTTGGTAAAGCCTGGGTTTCCATGATAACAGCTCAAGACTATGAAGCAGCAGCTCGGTTTCTTAGGTTACTTAGTTTGTGGGATTTTGTTGGGAAACTGTTCTGTTTAGTTGCGACTTCTGTTTTTAAGCAGTTCACGAAGGAGCTCAGTACAAACACATGTTTGAAGACAGCCTGTCCCATTTAAAGACAATGTATGTATTTCCTGGTACAAAATCAGTGCTCTCTGTTTTTCTAAATGTTTTCAGCCAGTCATGTGAGGTTTTAATTCTCAGCACAATAAATACAGTATTTATGTGCCTCCTGTTTCAGTCCTAAGAAAAGGCTTGTAAGCTAAGTATTAACGCACACTGCCAGTTCCTAATCAGGTTTTGGGGGAACAAAACAAGATGCCAAAGACTTTCTGTCTTGTGTAGTCAATACAAAAACAAACAAGGACCTGTATCAGTGTTCAACCTTTTTCTGTTTCAAATATTCATTGCCGGCGGCTCCTTCCAGTCCTACTCTAGAGCTGAAAGTGCAGTGTGTTCCAAGTTGCAGGAGTAGGAGTTGATTTGAAGTTTGTACTCCATTGAAGCTGTCTGATCGGAGATCTGTCCATCACACCCCACAGCTCTCATTGAACCAGAGCACAGGAGAAGTTGAGAAGTTAGCTCCAACTGCAACTCAAAGTACAAGTTTGATTGATGGCATCACTTTTATTGCACCAGAGGGAATGCTAACACAGACATCTGACCTGGTGCCTTTACTGACCGATTCTGTCTAGGGTGATTGGCAGGTGTCTGTGACTGATATGCTTAGACATGCAATCTTTGCATTAACCCCGGGCTCCCTGTGGCTCAGGCGATGTTTAGGTTGATATTGAACTGCCAGCGGAGTGGCAGCTGGGCCTGACGTGCCTGCTTCACCTCTGGTCTCTGGAGATTGCAGCCCAGCCAGCCGCTTGTAATTAAACGGGCATAAAGACAGATCAAGCTCTTTCCTCTTCTCCACTGAAGGGAAGAGACTGGATAAGAATCCACTGGATGCCTCGGACAACAAACCTCCAAAGAGAGCTCCTTTTTTTTTGTTGCAATTGTATCCATAGAATGTGCATTTACCACAGGTTCACCACAAAGCTGCTCATCGTAATAATACCCCTCAAAGTTTTTATCCAACTGTATGTTTTTTAATACAATTCTCAGAATGTATTCTCAGGGTATATTTCTCCCATCATGATTAGCTGTTGTTATCCAAGAACATTCGGATACTATAGCTACTATTCTTGATGAAGCCAAACGTGATACACAGCAATCGCAGGCAATCAGCTCACTGCAGGATCGTTTCTTTTAGTCTTGGCTGTTTCGGAAAATCTTCTCCAGCCAACCCTTAAATCTTTAATGGAAAGAGAGGGAGAGAAAAAGATTGGAAGATTTTGACAAAAACCAACAAAACATCTGCCCATTACTATTAGAAAGATTACTCTATAACACTTTGTTTATTTCTGTTATTTAAAGTTGTATTCACTAGTATTGCATTTTGAAATCATACATTTGTGTGTAATAGTGTTTTTGGCATCAGAGCAATTTGATAGTAAATGCATCCATAAATAGTATCCACTGCAGGACCACGTTCAATTCACAGCATAAACTGTGATTTGTGTTTTCCATATCTCTGTGGTTGTGTTGCTACAGTAGCAGAGTAGTCTACATATCTATCAGAGGCTGACAGATAGCCACCTCCTAGAAACCAACATCCATGACCTTCATGGTTCCTCTGCATCTAGGTGGACAGAAGCCATTCTCTGCTTCACAGGATCTTAAAATTGAGGTCTTGAAAGGTGCAACCTAGACATCTGAGGGAGAACGTAAAATTTCAGCCAACAAAAATCCCCACCTTCTAATACCCAAGTCTTTCCTTTCAGAAAGAAACAGAAACACCCAGCATAGACTATTAGCATAGAGAGAGCTTGGCTGTCAGCAGAGCTGCTATTGTCTGGCTGTGTCAATCTCCTCTCACCTTCCAGCTGTCTGTTCTGGAGCTGTTCTTGCCTCAACCTGCCACCGTCACACTCTTTCAATCAACACAGTCAAAGCAGCATATACATATTTACCAGATCCAATACTGCCACATATTCATATTTACCTGCACCAATGCTCTGAGCTGCCTATTTCAGATTATATTAAGGGCTGGTTACTGAGGTTTTATTGATGTGGCAGCAGTCCTCTGGCTCCAGGGCAACAGCACTCCACTCAGTGCGAAGAGCGATGGCTCTGCTGCTTGAAATGGGCATATAGTGCCTTTTTTATGTCACTACTGTACAAAGCAAACATACTGCTCTCAGTGTAATCCACAAACGACACATATTGTAGTGCACCTAAAATTAAGTTGTTCTACCTAATCAAAAAGCAATTATTGCCTCTGTGAGGGTCAAGAATCTCTGCAAGATAAATCAGACGGGTTGTAAGATGAGGTCTCCCTTCAAAAAGAGATCAACGATCTCAATGGGACCACCTGGTTAAATAAAGGTTTGAAATAAATAGGAACGTTAAGCAAAAAAAAGAATTTATTCTACACAGTTTTATTTATATTCTTGGTATTTTCTCTAATCTTTCCCTTTTCTACATTTAAAATACTGATTAGTTTGACCTCTTCAGGAATGTTTAAAGGTATTAAACAAGAGAAAACTCCCTGGTTGAAATGGTATAACTTGAAAGTAGTCATTGCTTAGTGTAGGGGCAAGCCAAAAAAGGTTCAGCCTCGCTGCACTTCTATTGTCTATCATCATTTATGTGTTATTGTTTGTTTAATCTGTCCAACTGGCATTTATTCTGGACATTTTTGTTAAAATGCATTAATCAAACTGCAAGCACACCTAATTGCTTTACTGACAGACAGTCCTGTGTACTTCCATATAGCCAGGGAGACCCTCAGCCAGAGAGCGTCAGGTTGCCCCCCGTGCCGCTCGGCCCCCGCTGCTCTCATGGCCCGGGGCAGCAGAGTGGAAACACGGTAAACCTGGCACTGCCCCGTACACTCAGTGAGTCCAGCCGTCACAGAGAGCACCAGCCTCTCTAGTCCATCTGTCACTCCCATAATACCCTGCTCCTGTAACCGATATTGACTCGTCTGAACAATGGGGAGGGGAGGGCAGTGTATGTTTTTAATCTGATATACGAGATATACAATTTGAAATGTTGTCCCTTGTATTAACATTATTTTTAAGTTTAGGTGGAACATCAGTTGGGATACTATGGTGTTGTTTAAATATAATTGATCTTTTTAATGTTTCTATATTTGGGTCTTTTGGGCTTTGTTTGGAAGGTCACACTGTGTAACAGGGGTACCAACCAAAATGACGTTCTTCAGTATTTTCACAGACACTTTGGGTTTATTTTGCTAGGAACTAGCTGCATAATCATTATGAATGCTGATGTCAGTCCCAGCTCTAATGTATCATATCACATTCTGCACACGTTTAACCCCTATTGCTCCTGTCAGTCAAACCACATCATAGCAGTATTTACAAAGGATGAGGGACAATAGAGCATTTCTGAGTAATTTTTGATATCAGAAGCAGACGGGTAAATCACGGGAAAAGTCGACTAACTCCAGAGTGATAGGTCTTGGAGAATGAAGGATCTTCACTGGTGCACACCTCTTCCTCTGACATTCTGACATGCATTTCTGGCACATTTTTGACACTGCTTCTCCAAAAAGAGACTGTTTGATATGCTTCTCAACTCCTCCTTGACTGGTGTGTTTGTTCTCCAGCCCAGCCGCATGTCATAATGTGCCGAGGCAAATCACTTCCAGCCCTCAGCCGAGATGGTGATTGTATCAAACTGACCCCTAACAAGCTGTCAGATCACATTTGCTAAAGCATGCATCAGCACCGGCCCGCTTGGCACCCATTTGGACAGAGTGGACAGGTCATATTCAAGGAGAGTCATTGCCTTGGTTCTCTATGAAAACAGAGCAAGACAGAGACAGACAGTTGGACTTTTCTCATACCAATAAGGATGGCATCCAGTGATGCACTTTAATGTAGGGAGTGGAACTATACTTGCTTTCAAATGTTGTAAAGTCTTAATGAAATTGCATCAAATGTTTGTGCATACAGATAATGGATGGGGGAGTTGGTATCTTAGTTTGTCCTATTACATCAGCTCCTGTGCTGTGAAATATTCAGTTCCCCAGTTACCACATAGAGGGAGCTCATGCGAATTGAGAAACCAAACCTGGAAATGCTGAATGAGTGAGAGCGTGTGTGTGTAAGAGAGGGAGAGAGAGAGAGAGAGAGAGAGGGGGGGGGAGAGCGAGCGAGAGAGAGGTGCGGAGAACGAAATCACATCGTAGGGGAAAAACAACGTGACACAAACCAGGAGCTCGGATATCCATTTCAGCCGTGCGACAGGTATAACATGCACTTTCACTTTGGAGTAACTTCGGCCAAGTCGGTGGCAATCTTGTGACACACTGTGTGTCCCGAAGCGGCGTGACAAGTTGGGAGAAGGGGAAAAAACGCTCTGGCATCACTATTTTTAAATGGGTACGGCGAGAGTTGGGGGGCGTGGACGGTAGAGGAGCAGCAGTGAGCATGTTGGCTCCTGGCTGCAGCTCCAGTGTGGTGATGTGCCGGGTGCAGGAACTGGACTACGCGTAGACTGAGCGGCTTTTGGACCCAGAACCGGGAGGTTGCCGTCAATTGTCGGCAGCCGACTTTCTGTCATTTTGAAGCCCGTTTTGGATCATTTGGATTTATCTTTTCATCGCACTGTCGTTCCGCGATACAGAGGACTACAAGGAAGCGGGATCAGCCGTGAAAACGACGCAGCAGCTGCCGTGCGTAACGGACGAAATCTGGGAAAGCAGCTATTTGAATGACAATAGTTTGAGCAACGGCAAGCTTATTTGTTAAAGAACTCCTTATTATTCGGATTGACTGTGCATGGTAGCCTAAGTCAATTACATGCTAAAATGACGTTTGGGATTTGAAAGCTGTTTAAGTGAAACTGAAGTGATCCCAATGTGTACATATTGACAGGTGTTACAGTCATACTGTCCGTCAGGCTGAGCCTTTAATTCACTTACAGCTCTGTTTTTATGTCTGCAAACACCGCGGACAAAACAGGTTTAGGTTAACTAACAGTTGGTATGGATAATCCGCAAACTATTTAATTCAGTTACCTTTACTTCGCTAATACTCAAAGATAGGACATTGTTTTAGCGACCTTATCATGAGTTTGAAACGCCGCATGGGAAAGTAACCATTACTTTGACTTTTCCCCACCAAGTTGTAGCCAATCTGGCAACAGCCAAAATGACAAGCAACGGACCTGTCATCGTTTTCGAGTGGCTGAAGACCCTCCAGCTTGCCCAGTACGTCGAGGCTTTTGTGGATAATGGATATGACGATCTGGAGGTTTGCAAACAAATAGGCGACCCCGACCTGGATGCCATCGGCGTCTACATGCCTCACCACAGGGAGAGGATTCACGACGCGGTGAGAAGGCTAAAAGATGAAGCCAACGAGACGGCCAGCGGACTCTACTTCACCCTGGAGCCGATGCCACCCGCAGCCGAGCTTTATACCAGTCACATGGTGGACCAGTACGAGTCCAAACTGCGGGGATCCAAGTCCTGGACAGAGCCCAACAGTGAGCGGGTTGGGCGCAACGGTGGGTACATGGGCGCTCAGAGGAACCTGACGCTGGGCAACAGGAGGGAGCTGGTGATTTACCCCAAGCTGAAGCTGAAGATCATGATCAGGGATAAGCTCATCAGAGATGGCATCAACCTCTCCAAGCCACCCTACTCTAATAAGGTAAGAGGAACATGGATAAACACAGGTCATGATGGTCATATGGCACAATAGGGACCACCACCTGTCAAATGTCATTCAAACAATGGAGCAAAGCCTCACCTGTCCTATTCTCATCCACAGCAACATTTACCACATAGAAAGTCAATAAGTCTGATATTCACTTTGAAAATATGCATACAGTCTCTAAACCTTTGACTCAATTTGATACATTATTTACAAGAGTTGGTTATAAAGGCCACACAAAAAAATAATTTTCTTAACTAAACAGATGATTTGCAGAGGTGGTTGTTATGAAGTTTATATGGGGCTGTTGCCTGCTTCATATGTCATTTTGTTGAAAGCCTACTGTAAGTCAGACAGATGCACCACTTTTGTTAATGGCATATTGCAATCATGTGTTTTAACATCAAAATAAGGTCAAATAAACTGAGCCATAGGCAAATGCCAGTGCGGTGCCTAAACATTTCAGCCCTGCTGCACTTTGCAGAAGTGTGAGTGGTTGGTGTCACAGTGAATGATGGGAGTGAAGTTGCCAAAGATCAATGAGCAGAGTGCAGAGAGGAGATCCTAACGGAGCTTTCACCCTGTTTGTGATTTCCTGTAGGAGGAAAAGATGTACACTCTGATTATTAATCTACTCTGACCTCACCTGTCCTCTGACTTGCCTCTGCATTCAGTGTGGGTGGATCAACCAGGCCCATGAGGATATAAGCCCTGGCTCTTTGCTGTGATGAATGGTCAATGGGCTATCAATGGCAGAGACAGTAAATGAAGAGCGCCCAGCTGGGTATGCTGTCGCACTCCTGAAACCAGGCTGAAAGGGCCTCTTGTTTTTACAGGACTGCTAGTGACCTTTTCTTCAGAAGTGTCTGAATAATATGCTTTACCCGCTGGGAGGCCTCCACTGAATGACTGCTTACATACAAGGAGGCACTGCAGGCCATTGAGGAGTCAGAGGCCGAGACCTTTGTCGTTTTTCCTGAGGCTGACGGCAACATATAGTTTGATTTATGAATACTTAACATGACACTTTCAAGTTGACTTAGCTGGTTGGCATGTACTTTTGAGTTGAATAATTCTATGATTGACATCATTTCATAGAGAATGGATGACCTAGAAGTCAAGTATTTTAGTTGTCCTGGCCTTATGGCACACTCAAGTGGATGTTTTCTTTAATTTGCACACTTGACCGTTTTGAGTAGTTATGGGTTCTCTGAAAATGGATGGAGTTTTACTCAAATCTTTACGAAAGAGATTCAACAAAAGAAGTAAGACTGGGGATCATTCCCAAAACTATTTGTTCATTCCTGGTTATGTCCGTGTGTCAGTTGAATTGTCTGTTTGGATATGCAAATAATGATGCGCAGGTGTGTAACCGCTGTTTAGTATCACATGCCCTTTGAATTGAAGCAGATCCTGAAGATATGCTGTTTTAAATGTGGCGATATACAATCATGATGACGTTATCTACCTTATGTATCCATGTAATCTAAATGAATGAGTATTCTCATTTTTGCAGTATTTGTAATCTCTTTTTGTGTATGTCTGCCACTTTGCTTGATTTTAAATCCCAAAGAGATTAAGGATTGTTGAGGGATTATTTGACAAACCAGGGCTAAAAGACAGTTTTAGTTTCAAAGGGTAAGCTATCTATTGTTTTGAAGGCTGCATTTATGTAAAGCCAAAGCTTGGCCACTGAGGTTTTGGTGGGGAATGAGTAGGTCAAGGTTTCTCTCTGACATTCTGGCTCTCTTTTTGTGTATGTGTCTAACCCTGTAGTTTTGAATTGGCTCCATCCCAGTGCTTTTCACCCCAGGAGGAGTGAGGAGAGTGTGAGAGATTGTGCTGTGACCAGCTGATGGAGGTTTGACTTACTGGGTTGTGATTGGCCTAAGGATATCACTCTTCTTTCTGCCTTTGACACAAGATGACAACCCCAGTGGAGTCTGAGAGCAGAGAGCCAGACTCGGGGCAATTACAGGACACACAATGTCAGTCTCAAGGGATGTTCCTTGTATAGTATATCCAAGATCTCCATCCACATTTAAACTGTCCTCTGTGCTCAAAATAAGCAGGGATCCTCATGGAGCAGTCTGACAGCCCTCGGCTCATCTTTGTGTTACCGGCTTTGTCTCCATTGTTTGCCAGTATGCAAAAACCAGAGGCAGTGTAAATGCTACGATTCAGAAATCCTCTCTAGCGTGTTCTAGATTATTATCAAACAATTCACCGAATGGGCTCTGATGGGTGTAATAAATACCCATGATCCTTATCAAGGCCGTAGAGACCCCTTGTCTGAGAGAGTATTATTTCTTATGATGTAAACAAACACTTGTCCTACGACTGCACATTTCTCATCAGGGAACAATAAGCAGAGAAGATGGTGCTGCCTATTTGCCTGTTGTCAATGCACTGGGGTCTTAGAGTTATCTTGTATTGTTTTGGTTAAAATAAATGTCTTTGTATTGACAATAAATATGTTGAGAAGAAACTGTCAACTGTTTTTTGGAGTTTTGTAGAGGTGCTGTATATGGTGCCAGCGAGCTGGTTACTGGCCACACTTTTGTTATCTGAAAACACAAAATAATGTACATTTCCCCTCTGTGGGACTAATAAAGGTATTCTGATTCTGAACCCAACCTAGTGGGTATCTGATGACATTCGAGACCTTGCCTAATGCAATGAAGTAGAAGGGTTTTGTAATGATCAGGTACTGTAAGTGTAGCAAAAATTAAGTGTTATTTGATTGGAAAAATCAAATAACACTTAATCCATCCCCCTTATGTTCATCCAGTTTTTGTTTAGTGAAATACCTCTTCAATTAAATGAAATCTCTTTAAAATGTGTTCTAATCCTGGTCCCATCCAAAAACTGCTTCTCAAATTGCTAGACATAATAGAGCCTTATTGTTAGTGCTGTGATTCGTGAGGAAGTAGAGGCTAAACACTGGAAGATTCTCCATTGTTTGTATGGAAGCTGATGGAGCCGCATGTCCTTTCACTTGTCTGATTTACATTCCCAATTTCCGTCTATTGAAACTGACTGCGGAGGCATGTGTCCAGCATTGTGCCGATGGGTGGGTGATAAAAACCTGGGTGTCGTGCAGAGAGAGAGAGAGAGAGAGGGTAGTAAATATGTAGACACGTTGTTTAAGCTGGTTTAAAAAGGCTTGGTTGGTGCTTGGAGGAAAGTTTGATGTTCAAGTCGTTTCTTCAACTCCCACAGAACAGCTGATCAAATGTGTAGGGTGGGAATCATGAGGCCTGCAGCTTAACGGCCCTGAAGAATGTAAGAAATGCAGTGGACACCCAGAGGTGTTGTTCCTGTCTGGGGGGGTGTTAAGCAGAAGGCAAGGTAGCTTTTAACTGACTGTTTTATTGGCTTTCCATTACAAAGAAGAAGAAAAAAGAGGAAGTTCACCACCTTGCATGTCAAACACTCACCTCACTTCCTGTTTCAGTCTTTTTATCTAGATTAGTATCCCAGCACTCTTTTCTGGCAGGAAATTAAGTTTCTTTTTGAGATGACCCCTTGTCGGCCCACTGGTTAGAAAGGGCCTTCGGGCTGACTGGACAACTGCCAAGGCTTGGTGTGAAAATCCTTTAAAAAAACTCTAATGTGTTGGAATTAAAGCTTTCTTATATATTTCCACTGCAGTGTCACCAATATTTAAACATTGACAGCACAGAGAATCTCCATAGATCTAAAGATTGACAACAGTGCACAGATTTGTATTTAAGCATCAGTGTTATATATTTGTTCCATCCTGTTTTCCGAAATACGCATGTTATTGTAATATGACAAATACTTAATATAAGGCTAGACCCAGAGCTTTTCATTACCTCTGGGAAACACTTCAGTGAACGCTTTTCACTTGCTTCTCATTTAGCCTATGTTTTTTGGACAAATATCCTCCTCATCTTTGTCCCATGCTACAGGGCTGGCATTTTGCCATAATGGGGGAGGAAGTCTTTCACAACAGCCTTGGTTTTTCATGTGCTCTGCTGAAGCTCTATTTGCTTAGTTTTTATTAAAGGCTTCTTAAAGGCATAATCAGCCAAGGATTCATAAAGGGGAAGTCATAAAGAAGTCAAGGACCAGCCTCTATTGTTCTGAGAGAACAGAGAAAGTCAATTAGAAAAGTGAGCTGCTGTTTGCATTAAAGAAGAGGACGGTTATTTGGAGCACTAAAAAGAGATAGATTATGTTCCCATCAGATGGAAAAAGACGCATATATACACCCACTTAGGGGCTCTTTTCGTAAACAGCTTGTGTTTAGGGCCTTTTTAAATCATGTTTATAACCATAAACTACAAGTACTAGTATTTACCTCTTAGGAGAGCTGGGTGTGGTAAGGACTGATGGCTATCACAATGACCTTTCACCTCACTACTCTGACACAACACTAAAGTGATGTCATCCAAGACCATGTCTTCCGAGACCATGTCTTCCGAGCGTCTTGCTTCAGAAGCGAGGCAAGAATACTTCCTGGCATTCGGAAAACAAAGAGTGGAACAGGCTAGCAAGTGTGNCTCTGTTTTCCAGGTATCTGTCCTTGTAATGTGCCACACGCGAGAATTGGCCTTCCAGATCAGCAAAGAGTACGAGCGCTTCTCCAAATACATGCCCACTGTCAAGTGGGCATGTATTTGGAGAAGCGCTCGTACTCTTTGCTGATCTGGAAGGCCAATTCTCGCGTGTGGCACATTACAAGGACAGATACCTGGAAAACAGAGAATCATGACATTAGTATAAGTGATTTAAAAAAAAAAGTGTTGAGTCCGTCTCCAAAAAAAATCGGTACTGATGATTCATCCGTACATGTGAGCAGCACATACCAGTGTTTCCCATACATTGATTTATTTGTGGCGGGCCGCCACAATTAAATATCGTCCGCCACAAATGGATCTCATAGAAGTGCGGTGCCCCCACAAATAGATTGAAATTTTGTGGGAAACACTGCATAAGCCGCATTCACACCAAAAAGAGTACTTTTCCCCTTTAGTTCCGTTAGTACCCCTAATGTTGCGTTCGCACCAAAAAGAGTACTTAGTGCCGGGAACTTTTACTCCCATTTTTAGTGCCTGCATTAGCCCCGCGCACCAACGGAGAGAGAATAACTTATGGCAACACAAAAAAAACATGGGAGCGGTGGAGTGATGAGCTACAACATAGCGTTTTGCTTGTCGGTTGTTGCTGTTGGGTGAAAAGCAAACAGCTGTTTGCTGCGGAGCGCAAGTTTATTTATTTGTTTAACGTTTATTTGTCTATAAAAACTGTTCTGTCTTTATTCATGAAAATTAATTCAGATTTAGTCTATTTATGATCCTTTCAGCTAAAAAATCATGTCATGCAGCTCTCCCCTATATGAAAGTACATAAGACGCTTTTCATTTAAAAAAGTATCGATATCGGCGATACTGGCCCTGAAATACTTGGTATCGGATCGAATCCAGATTTTGTGGTATCGCCCACCCCTACGAGCAGGCTCCCGTGAGCGGGAGCGCGCTCCTTCACTACAGACTATCGCGCCACCTAACCATTCGCCAAAAGGTTTTTAATACCAGCGGTAACCGGCCAGGCAAAAAACAATCTTCAAATAAAAGAAAGTCACAGGAGGAGTTAAAGGAGAGTGACAGGGAGTATCAGAAGAAGAGGGAGAGAAAGTTTCAGCCAGCTTGATCGATGGAGTTGTTTTCTAGTGGTGCAGTGACGCGTCCTAAAACCCTTTTATAATCTATCGATTAGATTTATGATTCGAAAATTATAAAAGTAGGGTAGACCTGTGGAGATTATCCGGCTGAACAAAACGTGCATTTATCAAACAGGTTTGTTTTCCACAGACCTTATTTCCAGCTATTTTCCAAAACCCTGTGGAGAAATCCCATTGCTTTTTTGTCGAGAGAACCAGCAGCTTACTTCCTGGTTTTAGGACGCGTCACTGCACCTCTCAATATGATGCCAATATAAACAAGGTCTTCTGTCGGCTCTGTACATCAATGCCGACCTATACAGTCTATGATGCCGACCTATGCTGACAAGTAAGTGAAGAGTAGAAAATATAAAAGGTATTGGCTATAGGGAAATGTCCCGGCAGTTTAGGATAATGAAGGTTCTAATCTATTAGATAGCAATTACATTTCTAACTCCTAATGACAGGGAGGCAGAAAGCGCATTATACAAATAATAATACTCATAATAATAGCAGAATTCTTTTAACAATGACCACAATATCATTATTTTAATAAACCAAATCTGAACAATTGAGGAAAATGAGGAAGAACTGATGATTCAAATGTTGTAGTACAAGTCGTAATTTAGTTAGTGCATAAATTACTATTGCAACAAATGTGTTAATTTTCTTCATTATTAGTCGGTTTTCTTTTGGACGAATGCTCCGGGCCAGTGGTTACAATGGTGGGGCCAGTGATAATACAAGTCCAACGGCCCGGAGGGCCAGTGGCATTTTACCCTTAATGTCTACCCCTGCAGTAAACCCAAAGCAGAAGAAGACGAAGTGACGTCAGCGGCTCATTTGCGTAATCTTCCCTCAGGGAAAAGTACTCCGGTGTGAACGCGATTGGTACTTAGTGCCCGGGGCACTAAGTACTGAAAAGTACGCGGTGTGAACGCGGCTATTCTCTTCCCAATATAATTGTTGTTCTCAACATTTTTTGGCGAGTAATATGCACCCAACTTAAAACATGTGTTCTTAACTTTGTTCAGGGACATTGTCTATGCAATGTTGAGTGCATTGGGCCTGCGACCTGATCAACAAACAGAGAATGCAAATTTCATAGCAACAAAAAGGAATCCAGAGTAAGACTTAATAAGTGGAATCAATGTTAAACACTAAAATAAAAAGGACCCTTAAGCAAGTAAGACAAGAAAGAAAAAAAATATGAGCAACTCACCTGGCCATCTACAGGTTCTATCTGTTGCAGGGTGGCAAGGACAAACACTGCTGTCTTTCCCATACCAGACTTGGCCTGACACAGGATGTCCATGCCCAGGATAGCTTGTGGAATACACTCATGTTGGACTGAAAATAAAAAAAATGGCAATTAAGGTGAGTGAAATTATCAAACAAACGTGTTCTTTCTTCTCTACTTTATAACTGCACCGGAAGTAGTAGGAGTATGTTTGGAGGTGTAGGACATAAATTGGTGGATGTAGTTACAAAATATTCACCTTCTGAGGGATGCTCAAAACCACAGTCAACAATTGCACGGAGAAGCTCAGGTTTAAGGAGAAAGTCTCTGAACCCTGAGCTGTGAATGGATACGTATGACCCCTTCACTTCCTTCTTGGTTGCTGGGGTCCCACTCTCGGGAACTCCCTGTGGCTCCTCGTCCTCCTCATAGTCCAGAAGTTCATTATCAACGTCTGTCTCGGCCATCTGTAAGAACAACATGTATATAAGCGAATCTATATCTCACAACGATAAACATACATCAATCCTCTATTATGTGCAAGCTTAATATTTGAGATGAAGGCCAGGTGGTCATGGACTATTTAAATTGGGAATTTCTTCTTGCATTAATAAATGTTACAATGTGTTTTTAATATTTTATTTTTTATTCTCTATAACATTCTCATTTTAACTTTATGTTTGAGCATGAATCCGCTCTTTACAGAAAGCATATAACTCAAAAAGATTTGTAAATTTGGATCGTTTGGCGTTAGCAGGCCGCAGCCGGGTTTCGCATTAAAATAAATGAACTGAGTCTTTGCAAAAGGCAGTTGAACATTAACCCGTCGGTTCAAAACACATTATAAAGTGATTCTTTTGAGTTATTACAATTGGGTTGACTGAATATGATGTCCGACCGGTGTTATCCTCGTCCTTCTCTTTCATTCAAGCCCGCTAGTTAGCATGCTAGCAAGTAGATATGAACGTGACTGACGCATTAATTTAACAAACAATAAAAGCAACAGTACTATCTACCTTATCTTACTATGTTACTTATATAACATCACGTCATTCCCCGTGTAGTATTGTATATTGGACGAATCGTCCAAAAACAAAACTATAACTAGATAACTATGGCTAATTGCCTAACTCAAAACAAAGCTAATGTTAATATGGCTAGCTTGGTAGCTACCAACGCGAATATTAGTCCCAGCTGTAGCTGACTCTACAACGAATTTCACGCATTTCTCTGTATATTTTAATGCAGCTAAATTCTGGTGAGTTTGTTGTATAAGAATAGTATACATTGAATACAACGTTACCTTGCTGTGATAGTTCTATGTCCCGCCGATGTCTATGTGCGTAAGGACCTACCAACGATTCACAGTGGAGTGCGCACACATGTATGGTATGTTCAGGTACAACTCGAAAAATCCGAGGCTATCTTTGCGGTGTGAACCAATGGCTGTACAAAATACCGTGTTAGAGGTTTTGCCCGATATCAACGGAAGACCTCACGCAACAAAAATATAAGGGGAGTGATTTGTGATGCTAGACAAAACTATGATTATGCAAAAAGACCGGTCCATATCCTTAGAACGAGAATTACGTTATTTGCGATAAAACATGAAGGCATCTGTCTCTAAACAGCAGCGTCTCTAAATCGTCCACTTTTCCAAGGCTGTGATTGGTCAGAATCGTGGAAGTCGGAAAAAGGCATATAGCTGGAATATTTAATGAACTATTATAATCCCTTGTCATTTCAGTAGATTTTTATGTCGTAATAGATTTATATTGACCAAATTAGTCCTGACATTTTATGACATAGTAAAGACATTATTCTCCCGGGAATTGTCTCTTGCTGTATTCAATAGATTAATGTCCTAGGCCATGACCAAACCACAAACTACTTCATTTTTAGTCAACCATTTTCCTTATGATATTTCCCATACAGCACTAATCGTTTTAAGTTTTTGCTTGTCACAAAAATATCCTAAGAGTCTTGGGAGCTGCAGTATCGAGTTTGGCCACTTGGGAGCAATACAGTCAACCCATTTGGGCTGGGGACAGATGGCTTTAAATGTACTTACAAGTATGCTAAGGGCCTCAATACAAAGACAGAGAATATCCCTCAAGGCCTGCCTAAGGTAAAAAAGCATTTCTATTACTAATCAGGACTGGATTAAGGATGCTCTCTTACCATACGATATAATTGTTTTTACTATTGTGGAAGGTCACAGGATCAAATCTTTATTTCCAATTAATTTTCAGCCCTCAGAAAAAGGGGAGTTGAGTATTACTTTCTTAAATGTCCCATACTGGGTTAACAACACTGTTATGTTCATTACAGGACAACAAATGCAGGCACATACCAAGGTTATGAGGCTATAACATTTCCTGACCTGCATTTGTAGAAAAATACAAGGTTTACCTGAAATCCATGCTTCAGCTGTTAACTTTTCAATTGTTTGTGCCTGAAGTCTAATCCTAAATTCAATATCGCCTAGTGGGCTGTAACCATTAACACAGAGACGAAAGAAAATTTTAAAAAATGACAAGACAAGTATTTTTTGAGGGTTTGAGGACTACATTATTGTAATATGTGTTTTTTGCATTTTTTCAGTGTTTTGTTTAGTTTTGTCTGAGGTAAAGGACTACATCGGACTACATGCCCTTCCTTCACCACTATGCAGTGATGCTACCTGCTGCCAATCTCAGGAAAAGCTCAGTTTACACAGAACCACTACAACTAATGTTGGCTGTTAGTGATACAATCACTGTAGCAAAAAAAAAGAACACAAATAAATTGTTTTTAAAGAAATGACACTGAAAATAGCAATACAGAATACAGGCGCTTGTAGTTATGACACTACAGTTACATTATACCTCACCTCACAGAGCCAGAGATTGACACAATAATAACATTATACATTTTTGTCACATAATTAATCGTTTTGTTGCCAAATCCCCTAAAGCTTACACCACTGTACGACACCTGCAAGCCCTGCCTTCCTTCTAAATAAAGATCAACACTGATTGGCTGTCTGTGTTGTCAATCCAACGGAATCTGGTAGTCAGAAAAGCCCATTGGCCTGTGACATGCCAATCAAATCCAAATCTGCCACCTGATTGGTGCGCCCCGCCTGGTGCTTAGCAGAAGGCAAAGGACCCCAGCTCGGTGTGATTTACTCGGTAATGAGTGATGCTGCCGTTTTTGCCATATCCCCGTTGAACCACAGGCTACATCGAACGGCTGCCATGCTATGTTAGTGGATCTCTACGGAAATATTGTCCTCTTTCAATTCAAGTCCCACACACGGGCCTCTCCAGCTGTGCGACGCGGCGCTGGCTCCTGGTTGAGCAGCGGCAGGACGATGGCACCAGGCTGGACCGTCTCCCTGCATTTGTCCTCGGTGGTCTATTAAGATTTTAATTAGCCGATAACAAACACACCTTTGACATTTACGACGGGCCGATGTTGGAGCGACTATAAACGCCCCGCTCTGATTATGGAAAGGGAGTCCAGGTAGGCATTTATTTGTTTATTTGAGGCGTTTATTTTTGAATGGGATGTCAATGTTATCGTGTGGAACCTATTTACGGGCCCAATAGCTTATTCATTTGTATAAATTCAACGTGAAAACTGCACAGGCCCACATAGCAACACACTGTTGGCTGTCGGAGCTCCATCAACAGCATCCGTCTGCTCCATTTATCTCAGGGAAAAATTCCACTGTACGGCATGCCAGCGGAGACACGGACCCTTCATTAGGCTGTAAACCGTATTTACTGCTAAGGCATAGATCTTAGCGATCTCATTTTTTTAATGTCGTTACACAAGCGTATTTTGGTGAGGGAAGCCGGGACATTTGCTGCCGCACATCATGCCGGTTATGTGTCATTTTGGCCACAGATGTTGAGCCATGAGTCGACTGCAGAGCATGTAGGCCTGTTGTTCAGGCATTCTCCAGCCACAGCAGGCCGGGATAACGAGCTGTCATGTCCCAGTAACCCAGGCAATAGGATTACAGGCTCACCAGGTCTGAACCGCACACTGTAGGAGCCAGTGTCACCTTTAAAAATGGCTTATTTTCTGTTGTGACAGCAGAGGGGCTATTATCCACCTCTGTGTTTCTATACAGGTTTTTGTGGAACTGTCCTTGATATACACCACACACTGGACTCCTTGCTGTAGCTACAATTGTCATTGGTGTTACTTATCCATCTTAACAAGAGTGTCTATAGCAGTAAATCCCCTTTTAAGTGTTTGGCTTGTAAGACTGGAAGCCAGCCTTTCTCTGAGTACTGAAAAAAACACTTCCTCAAATGACTGTGCTTTTAATCTGGGCCAGGCACATATACTGTAAACCTCCCAACTGTAGGGAACTGACACAGCTTCTGGGATATGATTTGGAGAGATTAAGGATACTGCTAACTTCACAAAATGAAAGAGCTCTCTCAGGTCTCTTATCTCCCCACAACAGTGGGGAAACCATTCAAGAAATTAATCATCTTACTGTTGACTACTATCGCTTAAATTCCCCATGACTAAGAACATGTATACCACCAAGTAATGGGTTAATAATTTCCTTGTATGAGAGTGATATTATTCTCAAGTTTATCTGTGAAATCCACTAAACTTTTGAAAGGCATTTCACACATTACACCAACAAGGAAATAGGTATCTGATTCTCACATCCTGGTGACCTTGTTTGCCTCGAAACTTCTTTATCAGATCCCATGCACACAAAATACTTCATACTACATCTGTGACACGCAACAAGCACACCCAGACTCATTCCAGTGAACCTTTTCCTATGCACTCTGTTGCCATATTATTCATCCGTGTGAGAGCCTGTAAGCTAATAAGATCTGGTCAGGATAAACAGTCTCAGATTTGTTTGTACACTTGTGTGTGTGTGGATTTAAATTTCTGCATGCGGGTTTGGCCTCCAGCAAGAACGGGAGGAGGGATATCATCTTGCAGCCGTGTCCCTGAGCTCTACAGTTTGTCTGCCTGCTGCTGTCCAAGTTTATTATAATCTGCCACTGTGTTTGGTTGTTGAACAGGGACATGCACAGGAGCCACATGTACAGGTCACAACAAAGATGGACTGATTGATTTCCAGCATGTTGTCCTAAACAAGGCATTCTTTTTGATAAGTTGTTCAAATAGGGGTGACACTATCTTTTCTTGAGCTTAAAATTAGATCTAATTTCGACTCCACTACTATCTTATGTCAACAAGAAACCTTGTGATGAAAAATCAATCATTTGACTCTTTTTTTTAAACTGCCGTTTGCAGCAGCAGTTAGACAATAATTACCCCATACTGTGCTGTTATTACAAAGACTACCACTGTTTATATGCAAGTGTTCCGTTTTTCAGCTTCAATGCTGCTTGAAAACATCGACTATCTGAAATATACCAGATTTAGCCTTTTGACAAAATATCAATCAGTATCGTATCGTAAATGAATAAGGAATTGATGTTTTATCTAGTGCTAACTGACTGTTTGACTAAAGGGTGGAGTGTGATATAGTTTTAAGTATTTTTGTTGTAGTACAAAATAAAGACAAAATAAAGGCCTCATCCGCCAATTAATTACCAAGTGATCCTTTATATGTCGCAGCCCAAGCTGATGTCTTCATACGTCTTTTTTTAAATAGCACTAAAGAAATGAGCAGATGAGAAGCATGAACCAGGAAACTAGTGCATTAGTCAATACAAAAATCATCAAATAATTTTAGATCAATTTACTTTTGCCACAATCAGCTCTTTAATATATCAGGGGCCTGATTTGGATGATTGTGCCGACTATATTGCCTGTGCTCAAAGGCAGCACCATCCACACAAAAGGTGTTCAAAGTACATTTGAACTGTTTTAAAAGTCGATTTTGTGTAATTAAATATTGTCCCACAGAGCCTACAGTATCAAGTCCTTTCCTGGCTCTGGCTTGTTTTAGCTGGCTGGCTTGTGGGTCGACTGTTGACTGTGCACTGCACTTCATCTTCTCTGCTGACACATGGAAACATGGAGCAACTTGATGACCTGCTGCTCGCTACGACTGCAGCGCTCCTCTCTCTACGCCATTATTCATGTAGGCTGCAGATCTGTGACTGAATCCGTGCAGCCTTGCGGATTTACCCTGACTGAATCGTGATCTCATTTTCCAACTGCTGCATGTTGGATTTAAAAATCCAACATGCAATTTATGTTACAATAATAAGGCTGAAATATGCACATAGGGCCATTATAATCGTGTAGAGGAGCTCTACTCTGGATATTACCTTCCCTTCTACTCAACCAGTAGCTGATATGTCGCATTGCCTAACGTTGTTTCCTTAGGCAGACATTAGGCAGACTACTCAGATCCCTTCTGCAGGTAAACCTGATGTATCAAAGGTAGAAGTACTTGTTCTTTATAGTGATATGTGGCAAGTACTTATCCACGAATGCATACCTTACAACACATCTGAAATGTGATAAGGATTATCACAACTAGAAAGAGATTTTTGGAAATGTTAGTGGTTGGAAAACACTGGTTCAACATGTTTAATGTATACGATTACGACGTTGTTATGTATAATCCTAATCTGAAAAGAAATGTAAGATATCAGATAAATGGATGTAAAGAACAGTAATTTCCCCTGAAATGTTGTGAGAGTCCAAGCATAAAGTGTATGCAAAACAGTACTCAAGTACTTGGGTAAATGTATTCAGCTACATTCCACCACTGTTGCTGGGACCATTTGTAGTGGTTGACACTAAACAGTAAGGACTCATATTTCATAAGCAGATGGCATTACTATAATGTGTATACTTTTGTATGACTATAATTACCAAGAGATCTGTGATTCAAGAGGTGGACGGGTGCAGACATGCTGCCTCTCTGTACAAAAGGTCAGAGCATTTCATTGGCCAAGTCGAGGTGTTGTTTAAAACGAATATGAGGAAATGATTTATCGCAGGGTGGACATGTGGTAGTATGATTAACAACACAGACGTGTTACTGAGAGAGAGACGGGTATTTTGAAACCTGTGTTGCACACCAAGCAGTTAATGATGCTTCCTTTGCACAATCCACCTGTAACGTGATGAGTCAGCTGATGGGCCGTGAAAGAGCCGGTGCTTTGGAGTAAACACATTTAGATGTCAACAGACTTTTGAGGTTGAGAAGTGGTTTAGTTTGTATCATTCCCTAAGGAGTCCTGGGCTAGTTTTGCATTAAAATTAAACAAACACAATATTCAAATGGATTTCATTTCTGAGAAGTTGTTTGTGGGTTAGTAGTGTTTGTTTTCCTCTCACAAAGCCATTTATAATTCGTGTAGATATTTGTGTCTAATTCAAAAAGCAGTTCAGCTACTCACCAGCATTTGTGTCAGCACTGCTGGGAAAGTATCAAATTAAAAGATAATATAATTAATGCAGCCGGGAAACTAATGTCAGTCATAGCTTTAGCATCACATTCATGTTTGCAGCAGTTCTCCTCCATGGCACACTCATGTAATCCAGTTTTGAGATTAGTGCTTGATAAGTGGATGTTGCAGTTGTTAAATCATGCCTTTTTTAGTTACAAAATATTAAGAAAATATAAGCAAAGCAATGGCCATTCATTGTTGGAAAATAAGTGAGTTGCTTGCACTTGACAGTAATTGATGGGTTGTGGGGATGGCTATTTCTAGACAATTTCCTCCCAAAGTGGCACTCAGGGGAACCGACTCATCTGGAGAGGCATACTAACTAAATTTGGAGCAGGAAAGCATTACTCACCTAAAGTGAACATTGTCGGTAGATCTAAGGAGCAAAGTCTGGAAAACATTGGTCGACTCGTCAGTGTCGCTTCGATTGAACCAAATGTGTCTCCTCCTCATTCAGGCTTAATGTCATCCTTAATTCTCAGCTGAAAATCCCAGAATGCATTTGTTGCATGGTAGAAATATGAGCTACCAATTATAATCTCCATAATCAACATAATCACTGCAGTCTGTACATGACGGCTGTTACCGTAATGATGATGCTGGAAGGCTGATGGGTTATTGGGTTGACATTCCCAGAACACAGAGACATGAACATGAAGCATTTCATTGATTTTGATCATTTTCTTTCTTAAACCGTCGACTGTGAGCTCAACAATGGAATAGGAGTGCAACGCTAAATACTCTTTTAGGTAAAGAACAAAACTTTAGGGAACAAAATACTCATTATGCAAATGTTGTAGATTTGTTTGATACATTTGTGCAGTGATATGTAAGTTTCAAATGAATGTTTAACTACAAATCTAATGTAATTGTTAAGGTGAGG